GTATCAATCCAACCATCAGTTACTATACTTATACCCTTTTCTAGCCAAGTATCTTTTATAGGTTGAAGTAACCTTAAAATGTGAGCCTTTTCTCTTTGTAACATACTAGTCCTTATAGCATTATAAGAAGGAGGAAGAAATCCCGAAATAAAAGTGTTTGCAGCATATGTGAATGCACTAATAAAATAAGAATTTCTTACAATATTAAATGGTAAACTTGCAGAATAAAACATTCTAGCTATTTCACATGATAAATGGTCTTTTGCCTCATTATTAAATGCCCTTCCTAATTAACTTTCAGCTCCTTTTCTTCTCTTGCTCCCATCAGCTATAGGGGGTTTGAACTTGTAGTTCCAATGGGCAAAAATACTTTCACAAACTTTGATTTTTTACTAGCCTCTCTTTCAAGTTGTTTCATCTCTTGCAAATATTCATCTGTGATAGATAAACAAGTAGTTATTCCATGTCTCTTGTAGGTTCCTTGATAAAAGTTGCAACGCTAACTTGCATTTCCTCTACCGTCTTTTTTACTTTGTAGCAAAGTTACATAACCCCAAAGAGGATTTTCACCCTCAATTGATCCCGTGGAAAATTTAATGGTCAAAGATGTCTTAGAACCACTACCAGACCCACTACTAGAATATTGTGATTGCATCTGTTACAAAATAAATTAATAAACTTGAATCACTAATTTATTTTAATTCAGATCAAGTTTAGTGTTCCTAAAATGCACATGTGGTTAATCACATTTTTAAAATTTACCTTGAAGCAAAGATGGAGAGTAGAGATAGAGAGCATAAATGAATCACAGCTGAGGATGGAAGTGATGTGTGGAAGGTTCGAAGGCTAGATGGAGTTTTGTGTAGGTTGAAGTAGAGGTTGAACGAAGGTTATGTGTGCAGGTTAGAAGTTGTTGGACGCTGGATGTTGTCACCACTATTGGACGCTGGTCGCCGCCACCGCTATTGGGTGTTGGACGCTGAACGTTGGCCGCTGCAGCTGCTGGATGCGTTGGATGCTGTACGCTGGACACTGGATTAAAGAGTTGTGATAATTCTGTAATTAAGCCCTCTTTTACAGCCCATATATTCATATTTGTCCTTTATTTTATTTAAATTTTATACTAATCTATATATTAATTGTGCAGTTTGGTATAAAGAGATCGCAAGTGGATTTTGGGCCCAAATTGATGGAAGATTAGAGCTTCGCAGCAGTCAGCACGCCCAGACCCATTCAATAAGCACGAGGGTGCTTCTAGCTCATGCACGGTCGTGCTTAAGGCCTTATAAAGTCGTGCTCATCTGCGGGAAGCCCAATTATAAATAGTTTTGAGGGTTTTCAAATCCTATAAAAGGGAAGATCTCAGGCATCGTAAAGGAACCGTTTTTTACATCTTGGCTTTGGCTCTAGAATACATCTGATCTCGTCTCTCTTGCACGGGATCCTTGACACATGCTTAGTGAGACTTGGAGCTTCAAGTGATCGTACTTGAAGACTGGGAACACATCTCATACTCTAGTTTGCTATTTCTTTTGATTATGGCTTTATTTATGATTGTTTTAGTTCTTTTCTTTAGCATGAGTAACTAAGTCTATAGGTAGGGTTATGGGAACTATTGTTCATGAATTTATGGAATTTTGATGTTTGAATCTGAATTTGATTTCTGTTTTGTGATTAGATTTTATCCTATTGCGCTTCTTTCTTAATCCTAATTAATTATATCGTCAGACGACCGTACCTCGGTTAATTAGTAGATCTATAGGGTAAAACGAGACAAAGGATTAGGTGGACCAAACCAATCTTTCTCTTCTAATCGTTATTAAATTAACAAGTTCATAGGCTTCTAAAACTTTTTTAAATTAATGTCTTGCATGACCATTGGGGATGTTGATTTAGAGAAAAGAATATTAATATTGCATGACCATTGGATATTAATAGTATTCTTATGAATGATTAATAATTATAAGGAAATCCAATTTAGAGTTAAACAGAAGAATAACATAAAGGATTGAATGAGAAAACTCATATGCCCTAGGTTCCTCTCCGATAAGTTTAATCAAGACGTGTATTGTATTCCTTACTCGTAGTTTTATAATTGATTTTATAAATTTTTGTTTTTAATTAATCTCGTTTCTTTGAAGCTTAAAGAGTTGAATTAGAAAATTCTTAATAATTAAAAATCAATCCTTATGGGACGATATTTCGGAAACTTAATTTAGAACTCTTTATTACTTCTCGATAGGTACACTTGTCTTCCGAACAAGTTGTTGCAAGTTGAGGATGATGAAGGTGCTTGAGGTTGGAAGATTGATGGAGGACAGGAGGAGTTTTGTAGAGGTTGGGAAGCACGGGTTGGAGGCTGAAATGTGGAGGGTGAACTGCAGAAATGTTGGGAGAAAGTCGGGTTGATTTTGGGCCCAAAATAAAACCTAACCTGAACTAGTTTTTTTTTCCAAAAAATTCCTTTTTCCCGTACCCATTAACGCACCCCACGTACCCACTGACGTACCCATTTTATTTTGTTTTTTGCAAAATTTTTTGGGTACATACCCAGATGTACTCGCTGCGTACCCTTATCCGATACCGGTACTTGGACGAAAATGGAGTACCCGTGCTTCAGAGAACTATCCCAAAGGTTCTATATCAAGCAATTCAAACTAGATCAGTGCATCATATATCTTGGATACTTCCTCTAGATAATTTTGTCGAAGTTAACACCAATGGGAGCTTGTATGGCAATCCAGGAGCTTTGGGATTGGGCAGACTCACCTGAGATCATCATGGAATTTGGATCCATGGGTTTTTGGGTTCTTGTAACACAATAAACCTTAATGTAGAATTATTTAGTAGATATCATGGTTTAACTCTTAGTCTAAAACTTGGATATCAGAGAGTTTTATGTGAAATTGACTCAGAGGTTGCACTAGACATCATTCGACAAACGAATCTTTGATTCCATCCTTATTTAGCTATCATCCATCACATTAAGAAATTGCTTATAAAATATCATCCATCACATTAGGGGATTGTTTATAAAAGACTGAATAGTGCGTATTCAACATACTTACTGTAAAGATAATGCTTACGTAGATTGGTTACCAAAATTTGGTGTTTCTAATAATTCTTCATACTAGTTATGGGCATGTCAACTATCACAATTAGATTTACTACTCCTCACTAATGTAACTAGTGTCTCTTTTAATTGTATTTAGTTCTATTTTATAATCTTTTTGAATAATAAAAAAATACTTTTACATTTTAAATATATTTTACATTTATTTTTTATAAATATATAATTAAAAATAGTTAAGATTTAATACAATTTTAAAATTATAAAATGGAAGATAAATAAAAATACATTTTTTCAAAAATAAAATATGGATATAATTTTATATATAAAAAATATTATTATTCTTATATGTGGCATAAGCTGCATTTATGTCTTTATTGATGTTTAATTTATTTACTAATTTTATTAAAATTATCATTTAAGATTAATTTAACTATTTAAAAAAAGTACATTTTCATTACAAAATATAACATTTTATGTTTTTTAATATAATAAATATTATAATTTTTAATGAAAATATTATTTTAATTAAATAATAAACCTAAAAATTAATGTTAATTGACAAGAGGTAAAAGGACTTCATCCTTACTAAGTAGCCTATGAAAGTTTGACTACGGCAAAGTTGACAACGAACCTTGACAAAGCCGTCTGCTAAATAATTCGGACTTGGCTCTCGAGATTCCAGAATGTCTTTCCTTTGAAATAATATTAAGATTATTTCATACACTCAAAACACTTTCCATAAGTATTATTAATGAATAAAATTTAAATACAGTATCACACGGTGTTATTTATATTATTTTTAATTAGTTAAAATTTAAAACAAATATTATTAAACTTTATTCAGTTATGGACGCAATTAAGACAGTTCAAAACATAAATAGTAATAGAACTTGCAACTACAAGTTTAAAATACAATTAAATAATTAAAGTTTATTTTTATTCAAATTTATAAGGAAAAGTTTATAGTTAGGTAAAAAAATATTAAATGATATTATTTTTAGCATATATGGTTATTTCACGAAATAGAAATTCTCTATTTTACTAAAATTTATTGGATTTCTTTTTGCAATTTGTTTGAAAAGTTGAAATACTAGAATACAAAAGTCAAGTAACATATAAATGAGAAGTTAATAAAAATTAAATAACATAATTAGAAAAAAAAAAAAGAGAGAAAATATCATGTGACACTACTTAAACTTTTAGTGATATATATGAAGATTAGCATAACATTAGTATTTCATCTAAACTCAATATGTAGACATGGGAGGAAGTAGGTTGTAAAGTATTCCATTTATCATCCTACTCGACCAATATAATTTAAAAGACAAATATTTTCAAAGAAAAAAAAAATTAAGCAGTAAATGAACAATTTGGAGGAGTTGCCAACATGTAATTATTCAGAACCTAAGTACAAATATGTGTAAAATTGATTTTATTATTGAACATAATTGAAACATACATACAAATTGATTTCAACAGCAAATTTTATATTAGAACATGAAATGCGACGTGAAAAATTGGTTGTCCCCAAATCAAAAAGGCAATTTGCAACGGAACCAAAAACAAAACACAAAATACAAGGATTGAAGAGCTAGAAACAGTTTCAGCTGGCAGTACGAACCAAGGACTGACGAACCTCACATTGCCAATGTTAACTTGAAAATAATAGTACCATAAAAGCCACTATTTCAGGGAATGAAAACAAGGAATAAACGAAAAACAAAAAGGACAAAAAAATTTGAAACAAAATAGCCAGAGGCAAAAATGTAGCTCATTTTAAAACCTACTATGAATAATGTCCTATTCCAAACTAACAACAAAAATCAAGGTTATGAGAAAATGAACAGACTTCAACGTCACTTACCAATGTAACTGATTGACCAAATTCGATAGGAAGAAATAACACTGTTTAATGTTTAGATGCTCAGCAGTAATAAGAGAAAAAACATACAAAATTGAAAATATGCAAAGATCTACAACACAATATAAAACGATGAGACATAAGTGAAGTAACTTTAGGAAGCTGTAACAGCATGACGCTTGTGCTCAGAAAATGCTTGAAGAAGTTCTTTATATCCACTCCTATAGTGCTCAAGTGAAAAGCAGAGTTGTCGAATTGCCTCCCTCTTCTCCTCTGCCCTATCTGAGATCACAGCACTCTGTCGAGTAACCTCTTTTTCAAGTTCTTCCACTTTCAGTTTCAACTCATTCACAAGATTCAGTGTAGTTACAGATCCCGAGATCAGTTCGGCCTTTTGTCCGCGTAGCTGGAATAGCTCTCTCTCCATATTTGCAATTTGATCGTCTCGGAAACTTGCCTCAGCCATGAGTTTATGAATCTTAGCATTGGTCTCATCTCTTTCAGTCATGAGCATGTCATATTTCTGCTTATGCCTGTCGAATTCCTTATTCACAGCTTCAGCATCATGTCTTTTCTGATCAAGTTCTTCGTTTAAACAACTGATTTGACCTTGCAAAACCATTTGTTGAGTAGCAAGCAGCTCTTCTAGTTGCAATTTTTCTGCTTCAAATTGCCTTAATTTGTTTTCTAATAGGTTGGTTCTAGACTCATATTCCTTGAGTCTAGAACCCTGCTCTATTTTCTCTTCTGACAAACACACAATAACAGAATGCATCTGATCTTTCTCTAATGAAAACTGTGCTTGAGCATCAAGCATTTCAGCCTTCAATTGTTGCACCTCAAGTTCATGGCTGGATTCATTAGCTTTGTACCCTGTAATCCTGTCTTCTAGGTCCTGAATCCGCTTTCTCTCTGAATCAAGTTGACATTCTAATGTGGACACATTTTCCTTTGCTACTTCAAGCTGACCTTCCAACTCACCAGTACCAGCTGACATACTATTAAGTTCCTCTTTTAATCTTGCAATTTCATCATTTGATATCTTAAGCTGTTCTTCAGCTACCTCCAGCTTTTCCACCAAATTTGCAATCTTGTAGCAACAATCAGGAACATGAGTTTCCAAAACAGCTGTCTGTTTTTGCAACTCCAGTACCTGTCCTTTTTCATATTCAAGATTTTCCTCTTTTACTTTTAATTCTTTCCGCACGTTATTAAGCCGATCCTCACTTTCTTCAATTTGAACCTTCAACTTGTTAATTTCTTCTTCTGAGAGCTTAAGTTTAGAATTGGAAACTTTAAGCTCTTCCTCTTTTTGAATGAATTCTCTAAGCAATTTATCATAACTTCTATTCTCACTTTCCCACAATACATCATCTGTTTTTTCCTGCCCAGAAATCTGAATTTGTTGCTCCATATCAGGGAACTCTTCTTTCAACTTAATACCTTCAGGGCCATCAGTATTCACTAGCATGCCATGGTAACGGATAAGAGATTCATGTTCTGAATCTGAGGATGATGAGGAAGATGATCCAGAACCCTCTTTCATAGAAGCCACAGAGCTATCACCACCTGAGCTAGGTGAAAAGTCCACATTGACAGGTTGAAGGCCAGACTTAGACAATATCTGCTTCGTATATGGAGTATAATATGGAGTCACCAATAGAGTCTCTTGGGCACAACCTACATTAGAATTGTCAGAGCCCTCCATCTGAGGTTCTGATGGTTAAAAGTCCACAATAAGAACTCTTCTCTAGAAGAAAAATAAAATCCTAAAAGTACGATTTTCCATTCCAACCATCAGCAATCAGCAAGGAACAACTATTTCGAATTGTAGAAACTTTAAAACAAACCGAAATAACATGGATAAAAAATCCAGACTGTAAAACCACTCAGTGACCAGTTATCACCTTTTTTTTTCTCATTATTCTCCAAAGATGTGAATTAAATATTAATACTACCATCCACTTTGCTAAAATTCCCAAACCCTACAATCAAGACACGTACCAAAAGAAAAACATCCAGACAGCACACTTCGAATCTCAACTCTCAAGCACAAAAATCGCAAATCAAAGGCAGATGGAATCTTAGATTTTATAAAATTATGTCTCCCAGCAAAATTGCACTTATCAGTTAAGTGACCTTCCCAATTACGTATTAATATCACTGAGTAGTCTAATGAAACATATGAGCATGCAAACTTCAGATGCTCTATGAATGATCCAAAACGAACTAAAAAGAAGTTGAGCTCGAAGCGAATAAGCAACGACAACAGGAGCAAACTTGCTCTTGCCAACGAGGTGAAAACGCATACTAACATTTTCGGTCATTTCAAAGCATCAATAATAATAATAATAATAATAGAAAGAGTAAAATAACGAATCAGAACTTGTCATAAAACCGTATTGCCACTGAATCAGAAGGTAGAGAAGGCGAAGGAATTACGCTGAATCGGCAACACAGAAGTTCGAAATGATTGAAAGCAAGAAGAAATAACGTAATAAAGAGCAATAAGGAAGATCAAGAGGAAATGGATGAGTATGGAGTACACTTACCTGTGTAATGAGGGAAGGCGGAAAGATTGGAGAAAAAGAGTAGAAATATAAAAAAGGTGAAGTGGTTGTGTTGATTTAAAAGATAGGGAAGAGAGCCAAATGAGTGAGAGTGAGTGACAGAGAGATGTGGCCCCTTATTTTCAGGTACCCTGTATCCCGCCTTCCCTCCTTTCCCAAATTTCAATTCGACCTACATTTTTCAAATCAAATCACAAACAATTAATGTAATTTGAAATTTTCAATATCTTTAAAATTATTCTCTCTTATTTTGCGTGAAGTGTCGAATAGATTTTTTAAAAATAAAATCACAAAAGAAAAAAAATAACTATACAAAATTTTTGAATAATATAATGATTATTTTATTTTATTTAGTGCGCCATTCAATTTTAGTTTTCTAAGTGTGTTTTATTGTGGCTTGTGATTAGCTATACCCATATTTTAATCAACACAGCTCTCTAGAGCACTGAAAATAAACGCGAATTTATTTACAAAGAATCAAACATGCATTAACCATCCAATGTTTACTTAACTCAATACACGAGACTCACTAATAATTGATTAAATTGACCTTCTTTTTTTTTTAATTAATTGGCCTTATATCATGAGTGAAAAAATGGTCTGAAAATGTGGGGCATTGGACCCAATATTCTGGCGGGAAAAGAAACAAATAGAACTTTGAAAATGTCGGGGGTATTTATCGGTTCTGGACCAGTGGGTCCGTTAGTGATTGTCTTTCTTCTTCGGCCTCAACCTTCGTCTCCATTTTTCAGAGTTGGTGAGATGTTAATCTGAACAAAGACAAAAACGACAATATCATTTCATTGTGCAGCACATTTCCTTTCCCATTCTTAGTTTAATTTTCCTTTTCATCAGATTTAGAATTTATATTTTATGTAACACCAGTATACCACTTTTTCACTGTGATTAATGTAGGCGTACACTTTTTTCAAGCAATTATTCAATCACATGTTTCTACGTTATTTTGATAGTTTTTTATAATTATCTTAAGTTACTTTTTTTTAATAACAGTGTACTATATTCACAGTATTAATTTTAAATTTAATACATATAATAATTTGTACACTTAAGCACGAGAGTGTGTGTGTGTGTGTGTTTTATGATTGTAATTTAAGAGTAATTTTCAAGGAATGGTTTAATAATGATTATATTTTACATTAATTTTGGTACATAATTAATTATACGAATAATATATAATTGTGAGGAGAGAGTTTAGTAAACAATGTATTATGAATAGTATTGTAGTCTTGCTTGTATTTCTCGTCGGTTTACGTTATTTTAAATGCTTTTGGCGACGATATCTAAGCTCATTGTCATTTATATATATTCTATAAGTTATTTTGTAAATTTGCCTGAGTTTTTAACACCATATATATAGTTTGATTTGTAATCGTGCAGAATATGAAACCATTTTGCTCTTTAACAATGCTAGCGAGATTTGGAAGGATAGAATATAAACCTTATAATATTGGTTGTAGTTTTTGTATATTCTTGTATTCATTTTGTTTATAGAATTTAAAGATTATATACTTCTTATTAATTTAATTAAAGACTTAATTTCAGTGACCTATTTAGCAACATTTTTATTGAATTGTTTAAAAATGCCTTTTTACAAGGTATATTTTTAATAAGTCTTCAAGTTAGATCAAGTTATTAGAAAGTTCAGGTCAAACATCTAAAAAGAAAAAAAGACATACGACAAACAAATAAATCAACTTGAAAGTTTAAGATTGAGAAATAGGTGAAGCTTGATTTGAAATGAAAGCTACTTATCCTAATCATGTCCACTCTTACTTGTATTTAAATGGATCTATATATAATAGGTTAGCTTATATGATTGGTAAATTAAATCTTTTATGAGTTGAAATGGTAAGATAAAAATGAGAGAGGATGGAAATTAAACATTTCAGATAATTTTTGTTTTTTTGGCAATCAATAGTTGAAATTTGTTACTGTGAGACTCACTAAAATACATTATCATTCAGTAAAGAGATGAAATGGACCAGTAGTCTTCCGGTCATGGCTATGGAGCGTAAAGAATTTTTATTTTTCTTATTTCATTTTTAAATTAAATTTATATATCATAAAAATATTATAATAAAAAATAATTTTTTATAATTTTTATAATATATTTTTATTTTTTCTTTCTGTTCAATTTTTTTTTATCTATTTAAACAATTGAAATTATTTTTTTTCACTCTTATTTATTTATATGCAAACAATATATATTTTTCGCTATGTTTCTATTCTACTTTTATTCATGCTATTTTCTTCTTCTTTATTTTTCATCTAATCATTAGTTCGACAAAATGCAAGCTAGAATCAACTTGCCGGTTCGCTAGTTTTTTTTTTAATAAATTTAAATTAATTAAGTATAGTTGTTTATTAGTTAACTTAAAAAATATTAATTTACTATTTTTATTAATTATTTTATTTTAAAATTTTATATTATTTTTAATTAGAAAGTTTCGTAAAATATATTTACATGCGATATTTTTAATAAATTTAAATATATTATATGTGTAAAATTTGAGATTAATTAAAAATTATTTAATATTTTATTTATATAAATTATAATTATCATAAAATACTTTTCTAAAATTTTAAAAATAAATAATTTTTATAATAATTTTATAAAATATTTAATTTTAATAAAATTTGACACAAATAATTTATATAACATATAATTATAATTTAATAGTTGAATTGGTAAATTTTTTTATATTAAATTATTAACTGTGTAGGAGTGAACGAATATAACACTGTTGTAATTTGATTATTCTTATTTATTATAATATCTGAGTTTTTTTTTTTAATAGTAAGTCCAAATTTGATTGATTCGAGCAACAATGAATTATCTCGGATTAAAATCATAGAACTGATGCTATGAAAAATCTAATCAAATTATATTAAGTCAATTCAATTTAAACCACAGCGTATAAATCAAATCAAACTTGATTAGTTTAATTGAATTTATCATATCTATTGAGTTGAAACCCTTAATATCAACGATAAACATGAAAATTGCCAAACGGCTTTAGGACATGGAACGCTGTTTCTCTCATATATAACAGCATCATTATCATTGGATTTATCATGAATTTCATTGTAAGATATACGAGTGTTTAGAGGACAGGTTGGGATAAGTTTAATTTGACCTTATTTGACACAATTTGATCAAATTATTTGTTTAAACTCAAATTCGACTTAATAAAATATTGACAACACATAAAACGAGAATGAAGTAACTAAATTTTGACATAATATGTATATTTTAATATTGTGTATAATTAAATTATAAAGTTAAAAAAGTATAGAATTATAATTAAGATATGGTTTATAATATATTTTAAAATAAATGACATCAATTACTAATGATTAAATGAATAAGTCTGATAAGACTTTATAAGAATCATTATATGAAAGGAGACAGAGAATAAAAGTTGCACTTTGATATTTATATTCTTATAGGGGGCACTAAGCAGGCCCTTTTTCTTCAAGTCAGCCCCATTATAAATTTCCAAATGTGGAGGCCCTACCATCCCCTTACGTCCAGTGTTTTGGGATGCAACACCAAACATGGGAAATATGGTAACTTTTTAGCTAACTTTCACTCCATTTTACTCTTTTAAAGGAAACGTAAATGTTACTGATATATCTATCTACCCAAATTTCAACTTTCAACCAATAAATTTTCTCCCTTCAATCACATGAAGTTGAAGATAGAAACAACAAATGTGTGCTGCTTCAAGAAGTCATGATAGGATTTTATTTGCATATATTATTTTGGCTTTGCCTTTCATAAAATTTCATAGCTTGTATATAGCTGTTTTACATTCATAGCTTACTAAAAGTAAAATTTTCTTCTACGAATAAGGTGAACAATCATTAACACAAAAGAAAGAGTCCAGTACAACCGCAATGGAATTAGCCAAAATAGTAGTAAACTTAATAAAACGTTTTTAATTAATTAGAAATGATTTATTTATTCTTTTAAAAGCATTTTTATTTAATATTTTTAAAATTTGAAAAAACAAGTTATGGAGAGATATTTTATTTTATTTTTTATAATAACTTTTTTAAATCCTGTTATGGTACAAGGAGAATGCCAAGTTACTATGTTCACGATTCATACTACCTTTTAAATTTTGTTTAATGGTTTTTTTCCTATGTCAAGCTGGATTTGCGACTTCTAACGTTAGAAATTAAATCAAGCAACGTCATTTGATGGAAAAAAATGGTGTCTCTCGTCATCCATCACATATTGAAAAGTCTCAACTTTCATATGATACTTTATTTCAAACTTTTGCCTATAAAAAGGTCAATGCTTATACAAAATTATTTTTGGCAATTCAGAAAAATTTAAAGTGAATAAAATATACTCGTATACTTCTTTTAATTCATTGTAACATTTGAATCGGGGTGCTGATATGTCCAGTATGATTTGTTTTTTATACAAAAAAAATATTTAAATCAATTATAAAATTTACATGTAAATTCTATTTAAATCGATTGACTTTCAATATCAAAATTGATATAAACTAAATTGCATTTGAGTGATTTTCTTAAATTTAATCGATTGAATTTAAAAAAAATTAATTTAGTGCATTATTAGTATAAAATTATTTACATTATAAACTACTCAGAATATATCATACATATAATTTTTATATTAATTATTATAAAAATCAATGATGTTTAATGATATGATAATTTATAATTAGATTATGTGTTTAAATTATTTTTTTTATCAAATCATTCATGCATGAATAGCGATTAAAAAAAATCTTAATGTTTTAAAATATTAATTATTTTAATACAGAATAAATAAATATTATAAAATCAAAATAAATATAATAAAATTATAATTATGTTAAATTTTTAATTAATATTCTCAAGTTTCAATTAGTAAAGCTCTTCATTTACTTATGGATTGTTGAAAGTGAGAGAAACGGAAAAACAATTTAAAAATGAAATAAAATATTATTTTAAAATTGTATTTACTATATTTTTTTTCACTTTTTTAATGAAAAATATATCTGTTTTTTTTCAGTAAATATTCTTTGTAGTCACTTAATTTAAAATGTTGACCGTTTTAATTTTGTAAAAATTAAAATAATATTTTAAAAAAGTAAGTAATAAAATAATTTTTTATAAAATTAAAAACTACAAAATTAACATTTAGAATTAGTATAAATATTGTTTTTCTTTTTCTATTTTTTTTATGAATATCTTTAGATAATTGTTTATTTAGGTATTTATTTTAATAAATTTATTTTAAAATAGTAATTTATATAATAAATATATCAAAGAAAATAAGTGTAATAAATAAAATAACTTATAACAATTTAACTTGTTTTTAATAAACTATTGGTAAAAATTTTCCAAACTGACCTAAATGAAAAGAACGAACGAGGGAATGAGAAACAACCCTAGAGTCTATCCGATGCATAGATGTTAAGTTTTTCTATTTTGATGGTAAGTACGGTATGTTGCCAGCAAATAGACAGTGCCCCATCGAAGTTTCACTTTCCAATGGCCATAGTTTCCGGTTAAAAATGTGACATCAAAATCACCAAAATACACTGAGGCCTAAAAGTTCTTTATGCATAGAGTTACTCTCATTCTTCACACCGCGCCAGAGTGATGCTACTCTGCCTCTTCTGAGAGAGATTTTGTAATTGCAATATCTAAGAAAGGCTTTGGCCAAATTAAATTAATGTTTTCTACTTCTAGAATATTTTAAAAACCCTTCTCCACCTAAAGCGACGGAACTTTGTCCTCAATATTTGGGAACAGAATGTGTGTACTGATACATCAAGGGTTGAAGCCCTTGATTTATACATTAAAAAAAACAAATGGCTTTGGCCATCAATGGTTTGACATAAAAGATCAGAGTTTTCAAGAGGCGGAGGAGAAATTTTTCTATCATATAAAAAGTATATGGTTTGAACCACTTACCTGTATTCCGCAGCAGTTACATGTATATATATTTTTTCTTTCATAAATTATAAAATATGAGTGACGAATGTCGTATAATTTTAAACAACTCAGTAATCTTTTAAGGAGGAGAGAGATGAGATCTAAGTCATATTTGAATTTTCTTTAAAAGACTTTATAATTTGTATGAATTCTTTGAGAGAAAAGAAACATAAATTTAACTGCTGTTGTTTTTTCTTCTTGTGAATCACAATTCAGGCCATGCAAAAATCTCATGCTCGACGGGTAAAATTAAAACAAAAACGACTGTATTGAATTAATGGTAGTAATTAAAGTTCACATAAATCAAATTGTTGTAGGTTTTGTTCTAAAAGAAAAGAAATTAAATATTAATTTATTTAACTGTAGAAATTTTAACGATGCATTAGAAATATACTATCACTGCTTATATAGCAATGGTTGGTCATAAATAAATTAACTATTTCGTTCCCAAGCAAAAGCCAAAATATTAGTCTTACCTTGACACAATCAGGATGCTAAAACATGCTAATTAAGATTGATTCTTGATTATTAACTGAGATAAAACTTACTTCATTGATATGTATATCTCAAAAGAATGGATTAGTATGTGGTTTTGACTAAAAAATACTCTTAATTTGCACTTTAAAAACCAATATAGCAAGACATATAACTAATATCTTATTTTTTTAAAGGAAGATCAAACACGTCACACTAGAATCATTAAAATTTGAAAGTTAAAATAGGCTACAAATTTATATTAGAATTCTCTACACTAATTACAGATTTCAGTTCGTGTCAAAATTACAACAAATTCTAGTCCTACAAGTTCTTAACTTTCACCATTCATGGTGACCAACTCCCACCTCCTAAAAATACTCTCACCATTCCCGGTGGACCAATGAGATTGTCTGGATCACCGAAGCAAAAAGAAGATTTTTTCATATTTTCAAATACTAATTTCGCCCTCCACTAAAATATAAAATCTTAATTTTGAAGCTTCAATTGATTCCATGAATGCTAAATCCCGTGCCGCTTGATTGGGAGAAAATGTTCCATACATGAGTCATCTTGTTGCACCAAAGACATCAGCAAAAAATATATTGTATATAAATGGTCTGCTAACTAATACCCATTACAAATTATATAATATAACTATAACCGATAAATTACAGAAAAAAAAAGGATATTGTCGGCCAGCAATATCTTTATGGGAACAAACACGATCGATGATTGATAAAATTAAGGATAATTATAACATTATTTAATAATTTCAAAATAAAAAAATTATTAATAAAAATTTACGTTAAAATATATTAATAAAATTTTTATTTAAATTCTTTGACCAGTACGTTTATAATATTAATATTTATCTTAAACAAATCAACGTGTCACAGAAACATACGCAATCGATGACTAATAGAAAATTAGTTAGTGTGTCCACAACCGACCGATTTCAATATCAAACGCAGTTAATAATTACGCATTAAATGAAAACAAATATTCTTGCCGTCCTATCGAAGGACGAAATACCAGTTCCAAAAGCTAAATCTTCTTTGCACGAATGTCTATTTTTTATTTATCATATGGATTCAATTGAGAATAACAAATACCTTTTAATAAAAGACAATTTGTTTAAGTAAAAAATATTAATAACATAATACGATTAGTTCTTTCAATACATATATATATTTTATCTGGAGATTCAATTTTTATTTAGTCATGATAAAGATTTTATATTATTTATGCGGAATTGCTATTTATTAAAATACCAAAACATGTTTTGTAAAAAATGGTTTTCTTGACATATCTTTAAAGAAAAATGTTAAAAGGAAATAATGAATATTTTGTTAAAAAATAAAAATGAATGATTTTTTGTTAAAAATTTTCCATTTTTATTTCTTGAATACCATTTTACCGAAAATAGAGGATTTGAGTACTCATATATAGTATGATATTGACACTATCTAGAAATGGTCAAACTTAAATATCAATAAATTTTAATTACTAAAATAATACTCTTTAATTTATCATTAGTGCTTGTTTTAATTATCACAAAAGATTAGCAAATTGAATCTAAACTATTGTACAGAATTCCTGAGTGCATCCTACGCCAGAGTTATCTTCCACAAGATGTAAGTTGTCCAGGTTGGCATTTTCAAAGTTCTGATGATGAATGGAAATGACCCCAAAGGAATAAAGACACATATCAATAAACCCCTGAATATTCCAATTATAAGATTAACAAGGAAAGTTAAAACGATAATCGGCATTAGCCATGTTGACCCCTTAGCACAATTCTTATCCTATATAAACCCACCAACACAGTTGAAAGCAAAAGAAAAACTGTTAGTGCAGGCAGAGAGTAACATGGCTGTGAGAGTGGAGGAAGAAGGAATTGGAACAATTCCCTTGAAGCAACACTTTGTGCTTGTACATGGCATAAGTGGAGGAAGTTGGTGTTGGTACAAAATCCGGTGCCTTATGGAGAATTCTGGCTACAAGGTCTCATGCATAGACCTGAAAAGTGCTGGAATTGATCAATCTGATGCTGATTCTGTGCTATCTTTTGATGATTATAATAAACCTCTCATGGATTTTATGTCTGCTTTGCCTGAGAATGAACAGGTATATTAATTGGTCCCCCTCTATTCACATGTCCCTTTCTCCACCTTGTATTACATGGGAATACATAATAAGAGTGGCTAGACTACACCAAATGAACGTATGAGTGATGTTTATTTTAGGTTATATTGGTGGGGCACAGCGCTGGAGGGTTGAGTATTACTGAGGCTTGTCACAAGTTTGCAAATAAGATCCTCTTGGCTGTGTATGTGGCAGCAACTATGCTCAAGTTGGGATTTTGGACTGATGAAGATCTTAAAGATGTGAGCCCAGTTCTGTATTCCCTGTTTGAATCTCTTATTATTTGTCTATTTGAGTCATTCTGCGTGCTTCTTTTTTTATATTGGAGTTAGTAGTTTTTTAACTCGGTGAATGAGTATTATGATAAATAGCTGTGTAGGAACATAAACTTTGGGGGGGGGGGGGTGGTGTGCCAGAATATGAATATATGATAGTGGCATGTATTGGCTTCCATTGTTTCCTAGTGTCTGGAATCTTCAAGGTTTCCAGCAAGGATGATGCTGATGCGCTGTTGAAATAATTGGTTGCCAACTGTATTCACAAACATATTAGTTCTTAGGAAAATCTGAGGCTCACTACAGTTATGCTTGTACCTATTGTATTTTTCCCAAGGTTTATGGCTTAGCGCCTTATACAAACAAACCAGGAATAGGGGAGTTTTGTTAGGCCGAGTTTTTTTTCAATCGGAAATTTGTTTCTTTTCTCTATTTTTTGTTATCCCCCTTCTTTTATTTCCCTTGTTTAAGGAGACAGTTCATATTTGTGATAGTCAATGGTCTTTACTTACAACCTTTGCAGGCTTTAACAATCATAATTTAATAATGGTTGGTAAAATGGGTAGATATTCTCCAGGTGCATATGGTTTATTTTATAAAGGCTTAGATTTTATTTCTGAAAAATGATGAGAAGTAATCTAACACTAACCCAATTCTTCCAAAAGCCTAGAGCTAAAATGTATACGAGCAAAACTGATTGTCTTTATAACAACTTCAATGTAATATAACTCTCGTTTATCATCAATAATTGTGTGCCATCTAAACCCCTATAAAATAGTATTAATCATTATAAGCAATCTTAGTTTGGAGACAAGAAATTGTCGAATTTGTTGTTTTCTTACTTTCCCTCAACTAGAATGGGTGCAATCCGACATCTAAGTCTGTTCCACAGGTCTACTTTGTCCTCATGAGGTAATACCAAATTTTCACTGTGTTCAATGTACCTCCAATGATTGAAAAGCAACAAAAAATTCATGAGCCTAATCGCTAGAATTATATGTATGACAGTAGAGTAGCTAGTTATTTTGTGCCACACGTAGATAATAGATGTAATAATGATGCTTAGAAAGTGTTTCTGGTTTGTATTAAGCAGGGTGTGCCTGACTTATCTGAGTTTGGAGATGTGTACGAGCTAGGATTTGGATTGGGAAAGGATAAGCCTCCAACCAGTGCTTTGGTGAAGAAAGAATTTCAACGCAAAATCATCTATCCTTTGAGCCCTCATGAGGTACATAAATATAATACATTGCTCTCCACCAAGAAAAATAAAAGGACATGTTATGCATGCAGCCTCTATAATACTGTTTAAACAGTTTGTCACTTTCTCTACCCATTAGGCCGTAGGGCACCCCACATGACATGCTTTATTCTATCATTAATTTCATCCTCTGCTTTTGCCATATGTAGGACCATTTAAGGCAGTTTTCTTGGGCAAAAGATAAACACATAAAATTCTTCCCAGTGATAACAACTTCAGCAAATATTCTGCCCAGTTTTATTGTTAACATAAATCTTTAAAATTAATTTTACACATGTAAAAGTAGTTGGTTTTCATTAAAAAATAAATACTTATTTTATTTTATATTATCAATATAATAATTTTTTTAATAAAAACTTATTATTTTTATTTGAACTTAATCACTATTGAACGCATGAATCACCTGATACGAAGTTGATCTAAATAAATATAAACAAAACCCCTTAAAACTAGCATTAATATTTTCTTTATTGAAAAAGTTAGAAAAGAGAGTTGGCATGTGCATGTGCATGTGCAATATTGTTTGTGCACAATAATTCTAAACGAATGAATAGTGCAATGACACGGATAGAAATGTTAATGATGGTTCAGGATTCGACCTTAGCTGCAATGTTGCTGAGGCGAGGGCCATTGCTAGCATTGACGAGTGCACAATTCGGAGAGGAAGATGAAGTGGAGAAGGTGCCACGTGTGTACATAAGGACAAGGCATGACAAGGTGGTGAAGCCTGAGCAACAGGAAGCCATGATAAAGAGGTGGCCACCATCCACTGTGTATGAACTGGACAGTGACCATAGCCCCTTCTTCTCCACTCCATTCGTTCTCTTTGGCTTGCTTGTAAAAGCTGCAGCTTTTCAATGCAACACTTGTTGAAATAAGGACACTGCCCCCATGTGTTCTTCATTTTTCATTCATCTCCAAAATTCTGCTTTCAGAAACTAATTTGCTGAAACTATTGATTGTAATTATCGTGAATAATTTATGAATCATTGTCCTTATGCATTTTCCTATGATTTGTTTGATATTTAAATATGATATACGTATGGTTTCTGCCTTTCATTTTTACTATTGATTGTATTATATATTTCTGATTATTTAAGAAATAATACAGTATTTTTTTAATTTTAATTATTAAATGCTTTTATACTCACTTTATATTTATATTTGTGTTAATCAGTCACTTATTTATTTTTCATTAAATTATTTAATATTATGATATTTTTAAAATAAAATATAAATTTATAATATATAATCATTTTTCTCAAATGAAATAATTACAAAAAATATGAAGTTATATTTCATAAAGTCGTTTCTCAAAATTTAAAAAAAAATCACACACATATATATATATATTCGTAGCTCATTGTTAATTGATTAATTTAAATAATTATTAATCCCTAAAAATATTATTTTTTTATTTTCTTTTTTATAAAAAAAATTTCAATTTTATTCGCTAAAAATTATAAAAAATAATGTGCCAAAGACTTAAATTTATTTATTTATTTATTTATTAAATATTGACATTAAAATTGAAAAAATTGTTAAAAATTAAAAATTATATTTTATTAAAAATATAATAAATATTATTTTTTAATAAAAATAGTATTAGATACTAAATAAACGTCAAAGGCTTTACCAAAACCAATAAAGCTTTTATAAAATTTAAAATGAAAAATTAAAATATTTTAAAAATTAATTACTTCTTTGAGACTAATTGATTTCAATTTTAGCATTTTTTTGGCCTAAAGGAGACCACGAAGTGTCTTTAAATTTAAAGAACTCAAAATTAATCCATAATCGTAATTCATGATTGCTACTGAATTAAAAAAAAAATTGTCCACAATAAAATTTAAACACAAAATAAATTGATCGATTACGCACATAAAATAATAATTCATGTCTTGTATGACTTGCAAATACCAAATAATTTAAAGAGGCTCTAATCTAATGCACATGCACTACTTTTTGCTAATTAAAAAATAAACGTTAAGTTTAATGTATTTTTAATTTTATATGTTAATAAAACTTTAGCTTTAATTCTTTTAAATATATATTTTTTGTCTTTATAATTTTTAATTTAGTTTTTATTATTAATATAATTCAATAAAAGACTGTTATATATTAAAATGTTGTTGAACAGAAAAAAAAAAAAAAAGCATTCATAAAAATATCATATCTAATTACAAGACATGAAATTTTTGTTTTATGTATAGAGAGATTATAATATCAATGCTATTCTATGAGTATTTTACAATGTCAAAATACAATAAATAACAAAAATTACATTGAAAATTATTGTAGATATATGCATTAAAATCATTTTTTATAAAAATTAAATTAAAAATAATATCATATACATTATCAAAAATATATTTTAACCAAATTTATACTTTGCAATGACAAGGAATCTTATACGTATTGGATACTTGAAAAAAAAATATTTAGAATAAGTAAGATAAATATCTACCAAATTCATTTAAATTCAAATATTAATATAAATTTATACTCATTTATTCTCCTTTTACGGCTCGCATGTGTATGTATTATTTATCTTGGTAATTTTTTCTTGAGCTTCATTAATTACATAAAGATGAGTAATTAAATCTGCTTAATGAAAAAGTTGTCATATTCTTCTAGACATTCTTTAAGAGAATAAAACCTCAAAATATCAGTGTAAGGCTTGAATTTTTTTTTTTTGAATTTGATCTCTTGTAAAAGAATTTGAAGTTTATATATATATATATGTATGTAAAAGTGATTTTTGTATATTTTTATAAATATATTATATTATAATTTGATATTGTAGTATATTTTATTTCATTCTAGATAAAGAATTTTATATATTATTTAAATTTTTTAAAAAAATATTCTTTCATTTACAATAATATTTATGCTTTATTAGTTTATAATTTTTTTTAAAAAAATTATATTATTATTAAAAAAAATACAAGCAATAGATACAAATTTTTGGGTACTTAGTAAATATAAAAATAAAGATAAAATTATTATCAAACAAATATTAAAATAAGTATAAATAATTTTTAAAACACAAATACAAAAATAAATACTATAATATATCCTTCCGAAACTTTATCCATTATCTTCTCAATTTAAACTTTTCACATTATTAGATGCAAGGAGCTAACTTCGAATTTGACACGCAAGATGACAGTATAATAGTACATATTTGATTAAAGCATATAATCACGTGATAGATTTTAACTTTACTAAGTAATTTAACTCATTTATATGGATCACTAGTTGGAATGCTAACTTCCATGTGGAGGTGTCTGTTTAGTGTTCAGGAAAGATAATCACTTGATTATTTGATCTTCTTCTTTTCTTTTTCATGTGACATTTTTCTTTCATGCTTTTTGTTTAAGACTCATCTTTTCATCATATCAGGATTGAGAAAAACATAGTTTTGAAGTGAAAGGGGAACTTGAACAATTCAGGCATTAGCATCTTTTCTTTTTTCTGAAAAACACCCCAGAGTGGAAGATAATTGTAAAATTTATCATGTTTTTTTCTTTTAACACGCGTAGAAAGGTATGTAATAAAAAAACATGTATGATATTTTTTGTTAAAAATTTATAATATTGAGTTATAACTTTTAATATGAAGTATTATTTTTTTTGTATAACGAATTGAAAAAAAGCAAACTTATTAATATGCTATTTCCACTTTATCATAAGCATTTATGAAGAAAGAAAAAATGATTGTAGAATAGAATGGCTAAAGTGTCTTTGGGATTGCCTGATTTGTAACATCACAAAGGATTTATAGGGAGAATCTCACCACTGTGCGTCCATCCTTATCAACTTCTGTTAAACGTCTCAAGCACAAGCAGAAGGAAGAGAATATATCCTTTGCAACACCCCATGCATGAGAATTTGTGTGACTAAAATTTATAGATAATGTTTGCATAATCATTATATTATCAAATTTGCACATATAGCTATGATTGGGTTTAAAAGAGAATATAAATGTGAAAGACACTGTACTTTTACATGGAGGTAATATTTTTTACAAGTTTGTGATTTATCTATTTAGTGGAAAAATACACCAAACACATGTTCATAAAACCATGATGAAGGATTGAACAACTATCGACATTAGCAAACACCAAATGAGAAGAGAATCGAAAGAGAGCATTATATAGTCACGGGAGACTAAAATTAAAATTCTTAAATTTTTATATTCAATTATTTATTTATTTATTTATTTTATCTCTCCTTTCCTTTTTTTTATCATTTATTTTTTTTTCTCTTCTTATTTTTCTCTTTCTTTCACTCACTTTATATCCCCATCTGAGATCTCAAACAATAATTTTCCTAAAAAGAATTGGTGTTACCTTGAGAATAAGGATAATAACATTTGCACATTGTAAATTATGTAATTAATTTTTTTTTGGGTCAAAATTTAATTAATTTTAGAGTTGATGGTATTTTGCATTAGCTTAGGGCCCACTAGCTACAGAATCCATGTGGTATGTTGGCCATCGAATGTGAGTGATGGGCCACTCTTTTGAGGAATGAGCGGGCCTTGTTACGGTCCAAATCTCATTCACAGGCATGCGCATATCTCTTGTCTGTTGACCAAAAAACTAATTCTTAACCATGTAATATCCTGTGGATGACTTTGACTTCCATAACTTTACGTGAAAAAAAAAAAATAGAAATTGAATTAAAAAACTATGTAACAAAACATTATGGAATCTTTTCTTTTTGGAACATGAAAGATGTGAGCATATGAATAAATAAGCAAAATAAAAGGTCAATTAAGCTATTAAATTTTGAGGGTTATTTAGATAAGTAGCTTAATTAAGTGTTTATTTTAATAAATTTTTTATCATCACATTTGTATTTATGACATTAATTTGATTATAAAACACATTACAAGAGTGAAAAATAACTTATTTTGGTAAATTACGTTAAGAAGCTTATTAAGATAAGTTTACAAAACTATAAAATCATAATTTAATTTCCAAATTCTTTCAAATGTTTCCTAAATATTATATCGTTGCACCCAAAATATGAATGTTCATCCCAATTTTTTTGACTACTCATCTTTGGTGCATTACTATTTTCATGTCACGTACAATATAGCATCTTTATATAGGTTAATTTGCTTTCTAATTTTCTCTATGTAGTTTCACTAATCTTTTAAATAAAACTAGAGTTTTATTTTTAACAAAGTTCATATATTTCTACAAAATTAAAGCAAGACCCCCTCTTTTCAAGTTAAGTTTTCAACTATATTCCTGCTAATTGTAAAAGAAACATGTATTTAATTCTAAAAAAATATGCATTTTTAAAACTATTTGTTCTTTAAATTTTATTTATTTTTATTCTTTATATTTTTTTAAAAAGTTATGTTTTTAGTCCTCAACAAAGTATAAAAGCACATGGTGAGGGGCTATAAATTTTCAGGATTTATCCATGCTTTCAGTTTCAGTGATTACAACTTACATAGATACATAGCCTGTTCAGAATTGAAAGTTTTATTATTTTTTGCCAACGTTCAGAATTGAAACTTGTCATCTTCTTTTCTATTGCCATTACACATTGCACTTATTATATATATATATATATATATATATATATATATATATATATATATTTGGATATTTTCTTTTCTCAGACAGGGAAGTCGTTATGGATGTTTCCTTTGAAGCCCAATCTCTTAGGCACTCACAAATGGACCTTGGTAGCTTAGAGCAACAATAGCTAATTAAGCATTTATATATCTAAAAGTAGTAAAAATAATTAATACTAGTTTCTCAAATACCAGATGCCTCCTTTGGATTAAAATAAGATTCCTTTGGTATCTTACATTTGATTAAAACAATAAAACTCAAGAGGAAAAACCAC